TAAAATAATTTTTCTTCAAATACAATGCTCAAAATTAAAAATAAATAAAATTTAAATGCATTTTTTTAATATATAATAAAATAATTCATTATTTTGTAATTTAAGATACATATTTCTCTAAAATAAAAGATCTTAAAAAAAAAAAACTTTTAATATCAAAAGCCATGTTTCCCATCTAAAATTTATATTTCATTATTTAATATGATTCAAATTACATAGCACATTTTTAATAATAAGAACTATAAATGAAATTTATTTGATTAAATCGCGTCAAAATTAGTAATTTCATTAGTAACAGAGCTTACACCTTTATAAAAACTAGTGCATTGCAATCGCTATTTTTTTCCCACATAAAATAAAATAAAAAGAAGAAAAAAACAAGAAAACCTCGTTATGTCATACAAACATATTATCCAAACATAAAATAAAAACTGGTGCCTGATGTCGATGCCTTGAACAAAGAGACCGCCCACAGCGTTCCTATCATACGATAAAATATGTATGAGCAGTGCTAGGAACACTCGCCTCCTGCACTCTCCGGCCAACACTCCCCCCTTCATTGGGCCACGTAAGGTTGTTTAAGCTCTGAAGTGCAACCTCGGGCCGAACTAAAATAACGTGGCCCAATGAAAGGAGGAGAGTTGGCCGGAGAGTGCAGAAAGCAGTGCCCCTAGCACTGCTCAATATGTATTTCCAATTCTTCATGTTCTCCACCTCCATCGAAGAATTCACCCAACTCTACCTCAAACCAACCATCTCCTCGCTCTTTTGGGTACCGCTCACCATATTGTGCTACATGTCCACCATCTACATGAAAATTAATGTAGGCGTGAATGATATATCATATTATCACATATCTATTTGTTCTAGGTTGGGGAAGGAGACTTTATAAAGCAATCACGTGTGGGCTTGCTTGAATAATTTTGGTTCTAAATGACTAAATGTATGTATGCGTTTTGTGTAATGCATGTTTTTGTTTGTGATTCCTGTGTGGTTGAGAGAGATACCTGGAATCGGGTATGGAGATCCACATCCAATAATAAGGGGTATCATCCCATGCAATTGCGAGGTTCCTGGGAGCTAGCGTGTAACATTTTTTCCCACTCCTTTTGTCCAGTGAAAAGCTCTGTGCAATGTATGTGATATGCTTAAAGACCCAACGCTAGTATTGCAAAATAATAGTATGGAAAAGACTACTCTGATCAGCTTCAATTCAATTCAAGATGTATTGGTAACAATGAACAAAAGGATCACATAAACTCCCCATTAAAAGGACATAAAAATCGTTAATCATTATCTTAACAATAAGAACATAATCGTCTTTCAAAGCATAGTCCATAAGAATTAAGAAACATAGGCAACAATCATGAAGTTCTGTAAACATAGTCAATATTATCGATCATCTTGATTTGGGGTAATGCTGTAAGGCCTGCGAGCTAACCTTCGGAATACCAACAAAAAACACCAACTATCGCTAGTACAATTATAGTGCGTCATTATATGATTAACTATTTTGATTCAGGATATATTGTGCATCTACATCCACTCAACTAATGACACATTAAGCTGTCAGTAAGCTTACAATCTCGTCATTGTAACTATATCATCGTCCAAATACATTAATTTTACTTTAATCTAAATACACAGCAATGAAAAGGAAGTTGGCCCAAAAAAGGGGGCAAAGAAAGAAAGAGGCAGAACCAGAATTTTTTTGGGGGCCATATCCAAACACAACGTTGATAACTTAGAATTTTAACAAACTAAATCAGAAAAAATTAAAAAAAAATCATTTGAGGAACAAATAACTAAATAATTAGAGAGCAGGTTGGGACTTGGGATGTTTATATACCTTTTTACCGTCTTCAATGAGGACAGAATAATCGCAGAGGCTGAGATAAAGGAACTTCAAGGAAGAAATGGATTGCGATGCAGGAACCAAATT